TTTTTTTTTTTCTGTGTCAAAGCAATTTGGGGTCAGGTCGCTTATGGGGGGGTATGGAGGGGAAGCGGTTGCTTCGGTCGTTGATGATTAAGAAGGAGGTGGAGGAGGAGTGGAAGGCGCGCAACAGCAACAAGGTTAATTACGACATCCACCCACCCGTTACACCAGGTTCTTTGTAAACTTCCGCCTGGTACAATTGCATTACATTGTGCGGAGCTCCGGTACAGTTCTCGTTTCTTCAACCTCAACCACCTCCTCTTTCAACAGCGCCATCATCATCATCATTATAATCATCTTCTGCAACGGCAACATCTTCCTTCCTTTTGGTTGCGCATAAACGCAAGGTCGTCTTGCCTAATTTGACAGCTGCTCAAGGTTACAATGACTCGCAAGGTTGAAATGTCAAGGACGTTCTTGTTTTCTTCTAACTGTTAACTGTTCCCATTTCCAAAATGTAGTGTAGACATCAACATAGTTTATTGCAAAACCAAATTAAGATCAAAAGACAATAGGGCTTTGAACAATTAGAGCAATGAAATTATGATTATAATTTCACCATTTGCAAATTAGATTAAATTATATTAATTTCGAACAATTAGGCTTAATTTAAGGTTAATTTACTCTTAATAACAAATAAGTAAGTTCAATTTGTTATCAAGAAAGTTGTTGGTAATAATTTTATTAACTGCAAAGAAATATTTGATTATTTTCATTCGAGTCTGATCATGTTGCAAAAACCAATGTAGATCAGATGCTGTCATCGTCTGCCTTTATCTGACATTAATTTTAAGCAATTGGTGTTAATTAAAGTTTAATTCGCAGCGAATGTGAACTTAATACATTGCAGATTGAATAATGTAAGCTTCATTATCCATCATTGAGCAACTTATTTATTTTTCATATTTCATCGATTTCGCTTTGTCTGCTGCGAACAATAATATAGATTCTTATGAGAATGCATAAATCTAACTGATATTTTTTTTTGTTATCGTTCGTTCTTCTGCTTCTGCTCGCACGAACAGAACATGTTTATGCTTCAGTCGACGTGCATATTAATAATGTTGGTTTCCAATTCCATGCCTGCTGGTAAGCAGATGCAAATGTATGGGTAATTACCGCATTGATTTATATGGAACCCACCGAAAAAGAACGAAAGAGGAAGAAAAAAAAAACGCACATAATGGCAATGAAACGCTGCGTGCATCACGCCAGATTTTCCTATCGGAATTCGGAACGGATTTAGGAATAATCGCGTTGCGTAATCCTCCCGCTCGAGGAGAAGGAATTGATTCGCGATTTGGGGCTGCGGACACGTAATTTCCCCACCCAGGAATAGATTTGTGTTACGCAAATAGACGCAGTCCCTCCGCTTCTAATTAGGTCACAAATCCTGAAGAGAAACACGTTTCTCAGACGGTTGTTTGTTCACTTGCAGTTTAAACTGTAATTTGTCTTTACAATGATTTTAAACATTAGGTTTGGAAATGGAACATTGATTTTCCTAATTTCTATAATTTTAATCTGGCGTTTTGGCGTTGTGGTAATCTTTACCGCTTGCACTAATCTTATCACTGACCTTTCGAAAGACCGAATCCAGTTTTTTTTCGGACCTCTCAGAACTAGTTTCAATTCGAGTCCGCTTCTTTCCATTTCGTAATCGTTCGTTTATAGTTAATATTTCGAAGGAGCCAACCTAAGTTTTAAGACCTATTACTAAATGCCATGAGCTCAATGATGAAGTGGTGATATTACGCATAAATATTGTGGAACGCATTGCGTCTGGCATTTAGGTAAGTGCTGTAATAACCATAATTCATTTTCCGAAACCAAAATTTGTTTACTAATGTTATACAATGTTCACATTGCATTAAATATAATCGACATATTAATTCCGACATGAGAAATTGAAAACTTCTTTGTTATTATTTTGTTTATTTTTATATTATTCTATTGTAATTGGGTCGAGGTTTATTCTTATAACACGGATAGTTTTAATAATTGCAAAATACTTTTTGTTCTTTTCTAATGGAAGAAGTGCAATTATTGTTGTAGAAATTAAATGTAGAACAACATATATAAATTAAGTAATGATGAAAATGATTTTAATTCTATTTTTTTTGAATCATTAACGTTATCATGTTTGTCTCGTTTCAATGACGTCGTGTCGTTTTAATTGAGAGAGAAAACTTTTTTGAATTGCAGCCGATTTGTTATGTTGTTGTTGCTGTAATTTTACTGGTCTAATTCATACTTTACACACGTGCAATTGTGTTTGTTTTTCATATTGCAGTACTTTCAAGCATCGACGTGGAAAGTAATTGATGTTATTAACTAAATTGTAGATAATTTCTAAGTGATAGGTCAGGATTTTAAAAATAAAACGGAAAATGAGGTTTGTTTACCCATTTTTATTTTTGTTACTGCAATAAACAAATTATTTTGTAATTGTCGACAATTTTTATGTGTAAATAGTTTTAATTGCTAACAAATATAAAAATTAATAAGTCTGTCACCATTTCCAAATTGATGCATTGTCAGCACTTCTACCTAATTGTTTAAACCTGTATAAGTTTTTAAAATATGTAATTTTAAATTAGAATTGTTGGAGCCAAAGATATTTCGTTATATTGTTTATGCAATGTTGTATTTCGGTAACAGTTCTAAAATCCAAGTCTAAGAATATTTTGACGATAAATAATTCAATTTACGTTGCTTATTTTCGCTTAATTAATCGATTTGGGTTAAGTAATGCCATTACTCATATCGCGGCGGAGATGTCGTAAAACTAAGCGATGTTTACTCTGGAGAAAATTGTATTTGCACTTGATGATTCCCATCGCATGTACGCGTGTACTTGCAAACAAACACAAAACATTTGATTTGTGCACTATCGAAATTGATGCTATGCGGAAAATGCATTATTCGGCCTCTCCTGCGGATCGTCATCAGAGAGGCTAAATTTAAATGGATGGCTCCGTTATTTATACGAAAACATACACTTTCCATTATCTCTATATCTCTTTCACGAAGCGTTTGCCATGGACTTGTTCCAAACTGTGTGGACATTTTCGGCTCGACGTTTGTCCTCCTGAATTACTCAATAAATGGATTTCCCTTGCACGGTTCGTTATCTGCAGCTTGTTTTCTATATATTATTTATTCTTTGACTTGTAAATATTTGCTCGATCAAGTAACAGTACAGTACGAATGTTTGTATTGTCGACGTTATGTGGGAATCATTAAATAATAATTAGAATACACAATATACACAAAAGTCAAATGTATGTTCACAAAGAAAATGTAAAATTTAATATTACCAACTTTGATAAGAGATAGAATAATACAGAAACACTCATTGTATTCCTTATATATTTTGCTTTGAAATGCACATTTAATATGAATAATTGTATTCATGGTTTTGTAGAAATATAGAAAAAGATGTAAAGACACCGCTGAAAATTCTTTGAACTTTGTGAAAAAGTCTGCAAGAGATACGGTTATGATCGTTTTTCTGATTTCAGTATTAGCTTTGTATATTGAAATAATTACACGCGTTCTAATTGTGATTTGTTTCGAAACAAATATAAATACGCGACGACTAATTGCGTTCTAATGGATTCTAATTTGAAGTGTCTGCTGTTTTTTGTTTGTTTGTTTTCGGTTTTCTGTTATTTTTGGGTAACTTTCGTGCACGTGTCGCGAAATTGGCAAAAATTATGCTGGCAGACAGTGTTGTACATTTGCTGGCATTAATCGATGATCGACTCCGTTTGCGTTTTCAGCTGAAAAATTAATAACTTCCCATTGTCAATTAATAACGAAGTTTATTCCATATGGAATTGCATCAATCATTAATTAATTAATTAATACCATCATCCACATGTCTTTCATTAACTAATTTCGTTTGTTTTTTTTCTTGTTTGCAGGTGAGTCCATGAGCAATTCAACTGTCCACCATAAATCGCATAAACAATGAGTAAGTAATGATAATTGCATCGCGCGTTCTGTTTACTGCACTCATCCAAAGATCGGCACGAAATATAAATAGACACAGATCGCAGTTTAGCATATCGATGAGTCTCTTGCAATATTTTGCTTCAAGTGCTAAATTTAGTTTTGTCATTAAGTTTATTTGCATTGTACCGACACATTTTTTTTTTGTTTTGTTACGTTAATTTGGAACGCGATAAAGGTAATTTTATTTATTGAAGCAAAATTGATGGATTAATCAATTTTTTTATTATTGGACAATCAAATGAATCGTGTTTGCAGTGGAAAATCTTTATTAGATAATAATAGAAATCAATCGTTACAGCGTTTGTAACGTAAACTCGGTTTAATGTCTACATAATGACAATACCGGTAACGACGCAGAAATATTCCATTAACTCTGAATCGACTTATCCAATAATTTTTTTTCTTCTTGAACGTGTGAATGTAATACGCACATGATTGATCGATCCTTGCAATTTGCTATTGGCGTAATTCAATTTCTTACATCCAATTTCCGTCACTTCGCAGCATCGAAGCTTACAGCAGTAGCAAATGTAAAAAGTATATATTTATACGTGTATAAGGAGAAGAAGTAATTGTATGGGATCTGGGTTCATTGCGCAACTTGTAATTGGCTTCGCTGAGAGGAGAGGACTCTTTTGTTGGTTGGACTGCAGTTACGCAATTTCACGGATTATGAATGGGCGTCTCTCGTCGCTCTCTTCTATGTAATTCGCTAAATTTAGAGAGAGCGGCGCTCGTTCCTCCACGCTCTCGTGTCAGTCGGTCGGTTGGCCTAGGTCGTGCCAATGAAATCATTTCTTAATCAAGATGATTCTGCTGCTGCTGCTTGAACGAATTTCAAACAAAAATTGCATGAGCAATTTGCATAATTGTGTTGCATCCAAAAGTTTAGTAAATATGTACATAAGCACATGAAATAACAACAATTTACACATAACTTACTTCCAATTCCAATTTTGAATTTAAAAAGTATATTGTTTACTCAAAAATTCGTCATTTTGACATCAAATTGCTAAATTTAAAGGAATTTTAAGGAACAAAATAAAAAAAAATCATAATCATTTTAATCCTTACAGTTCAAGCTTCAATTTCTTTATTAAATATTATAAGTTTCGCTCATGGTTAATGAGAAATCAAAGAAAATCTAAGCGCACTTAAAATTTACTTATTTCTTATAGATTTAGCTCAATATTAAATATAAAATTTTTGATTATTGAAAAATTCATGAAAATTGTATTTTTTTTTAAATTAAATTACTAAAAAATCTGCAAGAGACGCAACTTTCACTTTATAATCATTTTTATTCTTTACACTTTAGGCTTTTTTTTAATTTATCTACAATATTAAATAAAACATTCTCGCTTATTGAGAAATAGAAGAAAATGCAAGCACACTTTTCATTGATCGATTAAAATATTTACGTCAACTTACAAAGAGGAGATACGTCTCTCACTTTATAATCATTTTATGCTTTGTAGTTTTGTCTTTAATTTGCTTATATAATATTAAAATGATCGTACATGGTTATCGAGTAATTGATGAACATGCATGTACATTTTTTTTCGATCTCATAAAATTTCATTAGTCAACTTTGATATCAAAATGTCTAGAAATCTTCAACTTTATAATCATTTTGTTCGTTATATTGACGAGATTATATTGCTAATTATTTAGCAATAGATAATTTTGAGTTGACACGCAACCTTCACAAGCTACGCAATACTTGAAAAGTAAAGAACTACACAAGTTACTTGACTATGAACAAATAATTGCAGTTCTTGCATCACTTTGCATTTAGTTCAAAGATACATCATAACATATGTAATTATTTAGCAAGATAATTTTGATTTGCCATGCAACCTTCACAAGCTACGCAATACTTGAAAAGTAAAGAACTACACAAGTTACTTGACATGAACAAATAATTGCAATACTTGCATCATTTTGCATTAGTTCAAAGATAAATGATAACATTGAAGCATTAATCTGATACTCGCCATGCAACCTCACAAGCTACGCAATACTTGAAAAGTAAAGAACTACACAAGTGATTTGACTATGAACAAATAATTGCAGTACTTGCATCACTTTGCATTTAGTTCAAAAATCAGTCGATAACAATTGAAGGAATAATCTTTGATACTCGCCATGTAACATTCACGAGCTACGCAATACTTGAAAAGTAAAGAACTACACAAGTTACTTGACTATGAACAAATAATTGAAGCAATAGATAATTTTGAGTTGACACTATATCAATTACAGATTTATTAACTATTGTTTGGTTTTATATATTTTTATTAATCTTATATCTAGATAAGATAAAGCGTAGTTAGGTTCAAGAACACTTTCTTATGGTACTTTACTTTGGTTTCTTGGTGTTTTTCCTGTTAACTGATCTGAACTTAAAAACTTTGAGCGGAGATGCGGATACGACCGGTTTTAGAAACGAGACTAATTGCGAGCGAAGCACCACTAATTGCTGATAAATCGTTTTCGCCGTTATCGCGGAAAATTTCGCGAAAATTTTCCATCCACGATTTTTTTTTCTTCTCTCCGTTGCGCAATCGATAATGGATTTATGTAGTCTGCGACACGTTGTAGCAGGGAACGCACATATAATTGTGCGCATTCTTTATTGATATCCGTCGATATCAATAAATAATGGGTTTTGTACAGTCACAGTCGTTTGGATATAGAGTACGAAAGCTGTTTGCAATCCAGTTTTTTGAATAGCGCGACTCGGATCGGATGTGTTTTGATTTTGATTTTTTTTGTTTGGCGCCATCATCATCATCGAAAATTTGTTGTGGTGATTTTTAATTTGTTTGTGATGATGATGATGGTGATGGTGAGGACGATGGAACGGTTTCCTTCGTTGTCACCGATTGGCTATTAATAAGTGTGTTAATGACGCGCTTACTTTCAATGGATATTACCGTTGCACCAATTGGACAATTTTGGTTGCTCGGAGCTCGTGAATGTTTTTTTAGTTTGGTTTAGTTTTCGGTCGACGCACAAGCGTTTCCGGTTGTTTTATTCGATACAATTGACGAGAGAAGGAGAATATGCTTCAATTTGTTGTTCTATGAAGAGTAAATGTGCTTTTTCATCATGTGGTATCCGTGCAAGTTCTTCCTCAATCCCATCGGAGAGAAGCACGAGAAAACAGGTGATTTCCTATCTTTACACCACATTCATAATCGTAGCAAAAAATAATTTCAATTAATTTAGATAATTAGATAATAAATTAATTTTTATTATTGTTTTTGCAAAATTATTAGTGTAAATATAGTAATTTAAAAGCTTAATTATAATCACAATTTGGATTAAATGGACGTTGATAAAATAGATGATGATAAACTTTTATTTTTTTTTTTAGTTTAATCATTACACTGAAATTCGCTAACATAAACATTTGAAAGTCGTCCCACTTATATTTCATATTCGTAACTCGCCGCCTTCTTAGTACGAAAATTTAACTTACTATAGAATCAGATATTAATGCTCATCAAGCAGTGAGTGAGTCAGCCGTAATTGCTACTCATTTGTTTAATCTGCTGCTTCAATTGAATTGATAATAATTAATTTTTGTAAGGAAAACAAACAAGTTTTACAATAGCTGCGATTTTATTAGATTACAATTTGTGATTCGCGCGAAAATTATCGACTAAATATTTTGCTGAGATAAGCCTTTCGATAATGCTCTCTCAAGTGTATCTGTATGGAATAGAGAATTATTTGTATGAATATTTAATCGAGAAGTGGAGGAATTTTCAATAAATAATCGATGATTTATTTAATCTGTTTAAAATAAAAACTAATTGTTTGTATATCTTATTTAGATGTGTGTACACCTTAAGCGATTTCAACACAACGGGCACTTTGACTTTGAACGCGTGGACAAATTTGCAAAGTGCTCATTTTTTATTACTTGCTGCTACTTTGTGAGAGCAATTACTTTATTATTTTGCTTTGACTTGCTCGGTTTGTTCATTGAAGGTTGCTGCTGCTCTCCACTCTAAAAAGGTAATAATTCATTGACGAGCCGTTTCCTTTCTTCAGAAAGAAAATAGCAAAAACGTGTCGGAAACGCTTAAGGAAATTAGTTTTTTCTTTTGGTCTGTCATAACAACAATTACGTATAAGTAAATTTGTTTAATTCTACGAGAATTGCTATAGTTTTTATTATGTGAAGATTAAGTTGAATTAACATGTAATTCGGGCAATTAGAAACCATCTTTAACGAAAGCATTAACGGACCATTAACTTTATCGCCATTAAATCAGCGAATGGAGAAACTTTGCTATTGTTATGTGATCGGTTGTTTATTCGAAGCGAAATTGATCTTGCGGTAGGTTTCGTGGCGTCCGGCCAGTAATCCTCGGTTATTTTATTTCGTTTTCTCTATTTGAAATTTGAAGAAGAAGATGAAAAAAATGAGAGAGAGAGAAGAAAGATGTCGAAACGTTCCGTGCGGAAAAGTACAATGAGAAAATAAACACTCGACACCTTGCGTCATTTCCACTTCTGCAATTTCTCCTCTGCATCGTTCCGCCAAGTTTTTTCTTTTTGCTTCGTTTTTGCTAACTTTTCCTCTCGACTCTGGAGATTCCATAACAATTCGGCAATTCTTGGATCGATTATCCGCATGATGTGTGACGAATGTATTAAAAACAATGAAAAAGTTTACTTAAATTACATAACTTTAGTTTACTATAGTTTTTAATCCGCTGATTATTAAATGCCAAATTATCATATGAAAATACCCAGATTAAATTATTTATTGTTGTTAACATTATAACCGTATTACTGAATTGATGCGTGAATATGCCATTATTATTGTTGTTTTTTTTCTTCTCTTCCTCCTTCTGGGTATTTCGGGGGAGGGCAACGGCTTTACACCATTGTTTCAACTTAATTTATATATGCTCTGCAATTTTTTTTCTTCTCTCTTTATACATATACATATTATATTCACTGTTCTCCTGTGACCCCTGTGAACAATGGCACCTCGCACAAAAGGAGAGCACCCACATATTGTAATTTTATTCTCTATTTTTTTTTTTTTCATCATCGCCATCAAATGTAACTGTAAATACGCGCGCAACTCATGTGGGAGATAATTATTTTTGTTACACGCTAATTATTTATTTACTTATTTGTTGATTTTTTTCCGTTCATTAATTCTAATCAGTTGTAATTTTAGAGCCTCGTCAATTTAATTAACGGTAATTAAAAAGTTTTTCCTTTTTCACGTCATTTCGCAGTCTGTTTGCTCGGGGCGCGATTCCGAAGTTTAAGCAATTAAACTCGCAAACAAATATTGGGTGGAGAGAAATTTCTTGGACTTGAGCTTTTCCAAGTCGTATTTTAGGATAAATGTTGAAATCTCCCTTAACGATTTTTTGTTTTGTTTGTAATGATTATTTATTTCAATCTAAATGAAATTTCCTGGAAGCAATTTACCACGGTTTTAACAGCTGATAATTAATCATTATTTGTAATGAGTAATCGTTATTTTTCTTAATGGAACATAATATCCATAACAGATTACAAAACTATATGGAACCTGTAAGAATTTCTTACTTCCTTGTAGATTCAATCTCACTTATATTTTAACAAAGTATTGTTAATTTAGAATTTCAATGAATGGATTTTTATTCTGGAGTAAACATGATTATATTTAGTGGAAAGTTTCCAATTATTGATCAGTTTTTCAATAAGAATATATTCTTTCAACATAAGAAAACGTGACAAGGATCACAAATATCATTCAAATCTTTGAAAATGTTTTTTGCTATGGTCAAATATGATTTTGTTGTTCATGATATAACAATTGTTTCTATGTATATTTAAAGTATTAAAAAGAAGTGTAAGATAAGA